CTGATAGTGCGTAGTAAGTTGGAAGAGGCGAGAAACATCGATACATTTGCATCTCGTATTGGGAAGCTTTATGACTGCACCGAAAACTCATATATCGAAAACACAGTAAGAAACGTGGATTGTTTAAAGCAGACAATAAGAAAATACCAGAAAAGATGCTGTATTTTTCATTATTTTTGTCGCTTTTTTCGTTTCTTTTTTTTTTAATTTTGGATGTGCACGGATCGAAACTGTCAGACGAGAGTTAGTTTCTCATTATTCTTTATACAAGCGGAAATCCCGAAGATATGTGTCAGAAATAAGTAATGAGAGACTTGTGTCAATATCAGTTTTTTTTTCACGCTCTCCATACGTAACCTCCGCCGAAACACACAGAGTGTATAAGAATAATTCATGTTCGCTCTTGTAAAAGGTTCTGAACTTTTGACTGATTTCGAAAATAAAAGAAATGATATTATTATGTCTATCTTTGTGTTGATTTAGAATTTTAAATTTTGAAAAGTTGTGATGTGCCGAGAAGGTGATACATTCTTGATTTCCAAATTCTTAAGCTTCAGCTGATCATAATGTGGATTCTGTGAATTTTAATACATTTTTGAATGCCTGTTGATTTTGATGTTTAGACTTAATATGGATAACTTCTAAAATTTGTAATCCTTATTTACATTATCCAGACTATTGTCGCCATATTGTCGGCCTTCTTCTGGTTCGAATGTCGAATTGAACTCTTTATTTTGCTCACTGTAGACTGTTTCTAGTTCCACATGCCATGTTTAATGGATGTCAGTTATCAATCAATTATCTTTGTTACAGTGGAACACACATATTCTATAGTTAATAGACTCTCCCACCTATAATAAGTAGGAGTAGTAAGAGTAACGTCAGTCGCTAAGTCGCTCAGACAGTCGATGCCGGACCACCGTTAGTCGAATACTAAAGTATCAGCGACCACAACTAGATTACTCTGCGTTATACCGATTATATCAAGTTCCTAACGTTTTGTACGTCGAACCTATTTTAGGACCGACTTAGTACAAATACAAGCCTTCATAACAATCTTCTCCAAGTTCTCCACAGCCAATGGGTATTGAACTCACACTGTTTGGATCCTGTCATTGGATCTAACTAACGCCTTTATCCACTGTGCCATGTATCCTTGTGGACATCTGTATGAATTTCTGGGTATTATAAACCTAATGTCTTCAGCAATCATATTTTATCAGTGCTCATATTACAATTTTTTGCTGTTACCATATGTGTTTTTACCAGAGCTCATATTGCAATTTTTAACAGAGATAACTGATAACTGACATCCATTAAACATGGCACGTGGAACTAGAAGAGACTAACCCAGTGAGCGAAATAAAGGGTTCAGTTCAACATTCCAACAACCTGAAGAAGGCCAGAGCGTACAACGGCCGAAACGTTGTAATAGATATAGGGACAAAGATGAGGACAATAGTCCGTATAATGTAAATAGCGTGCATAATACCTCATCTCAGAGATATAGGCAGATTTATAATACTTATTTACAATTCTTTTTGTTGTGTATTTTGTGTAATTCACACGATGTCTTATCGTAATTGTTATGTTTCTGTATTATGTGTTGCTGCTCAACACTTTGGACGGGTGTGTGTACAAGGGACCCTACAAGAAAGAGTTGTGGTTGTATATCCTATGTAATATAAAATGTCTAACAGTGAATTTGTAAACAATATTGCTCTCATTTAGAGGGCTTTGCTTTTTGGGTTTATTGTAACAGTTCCCAAATATTTAGATACATAAATCTATAGATAGTGAAATATAGGTGTTTGTTAAAATGACTTTATATGTCAGTGGGCTAATTTTTCATGGCTATTTCTCCTTGTTCATGGAATATCGCAATCTTTTCAAATCATTCTAATGAGGGAATCAATCATTAACGAATAACAATCATTTGATTTCTTATATTTTTATAATGACTGATGTCAGTTGAAATCTCAGAATTTTATCAAGAATAAACATGAAACATAGATAGTTTCTATACACGATACGCCTATATTTGAATTTGAAAAATATAATTCCCAAAAATGCCAAAATTCACATGAGAAATTATTGTCTACAAAACTGACAACATCAAGTACTTGCGAATGAGATGGTCCAAAGTATTTGAACAACATAAACTTTGACACTGTAGCTTTGTGATTTTTTTTGTTTTGTTTTGGATATAGCAGTTATTAGAAAAGCAAAAACATGCAGTTAAACATCAAGCGACAAAAATCTTTATATATGAATTTTACTGCTTAAAAGCACACACACACACATTATATTGTAATAGTATTTTTATTATAAAATATTATACATCGCTACACAAAATTTTTATGTTTCGGAACTTAAAAATCGTTCCATCATCAGGAGATATAGGGTAACTTATGATGAAAAGAAAACTTATGCGAAATCAGAAAACAATTCGGTACCTTAATTGAGAGTTAAAAATGAGGTGGGAGCAAGATTTCAAAATTTTGTGAGTGTGTCTGTGTTAACCAATCAAAAGACGGATCAAAGCTAAAGCAGAAAAGTGAAAAATGTAGGTTGGAAGTTAGGGGGAGGTGGGTTATTGATTCATGTCTAGATAAATTGACATTTTTGAGAACTTTTTAAAAAACAAAGTATATGCTAAGAACGTTGGATTTTTAATCTCTCTGATCTTTCTCTTCATATATATATATATATATATATATATATATATATATATGATTCACAAAATTATTCACTCACTATGGGGCAGAAACAGAAGAGATTTTTCTACATCTAACGGAGCTTGAAAATTATTGACATATAAGTAGGTGTTTCTTATGGCCGGCCATGACTACGAGTTTCATTCGCGCCAGAGCACGCAATCGTCAAGAAGCCAACAATTTTTGTTGCTTCGTTCTTTCAATATACCCACTACGGGGACATCAAAACCCACGCCGGCGGTGGGTATATAGAAACCTGATAAAATGGCAATTACTGTTACTATTACTTCTACTACTATTGCTGCTGCAACTACTACTATTAATAATGCTGATACTGCTGCTGTTACTCCTACTACTACTGCTGTTGCTACTATTACTGGTGTCACTAGTACTATAATAATAATAATAATAATAATAATAATAATAATAATAATAATAATATGGCTAATACTCTGCCCGTACCAAACAAGCTGATGTAGACAAAACCCGTACCCATCAGTGGCTACGTAGTGCAGGGTTGAAAGCTGAAACTGAAGGTTTTATCCTTGCTGCACAGGATCAGTGCTTGCTAACTAGAATTTATCAAGCACACATACTAAAATATTGTGTTAGCCAAAAATGCAGATTATGTGATAAATATCCACAAACAATTAATCATCTTGTATCAGGTTGCACGATATTGGCACCCACTGAATATAAAACCCGGCATGACAGAGTGGGCCAATATCTGCACTGTGAAATTTGCAACTTCTACGGGAAGGAAACTTAAAGAATGTGGTATGAACACCACCCAGACCCGGTTACGGAGATAGGACCTGTTACAATTCTATGGGACTACACAATACACACTGACAGAACAATCAAAGCCAACCGCCCAGATATTGTTATTAGAGACCACAAAAAAAAATGCCTCTTTATTGAGATGGCAGTCCTTGCAGACTACAATGTATCTATGTAAAATATGTGTTTTTCTTTAACTGGTTAGTGCAAAATGTCAGGATGCCATTTCTAACCTTAGGTCTCTAGGCGGGACCCGGACAGTTGTGTCTACACACCAGAGAACAAAGGAAATAATAATAATAATAATAATAATAATAATAATAATAATAATAATTGGTTAGTTTTTTACAACTTACCTACCGTTTGATCCTTATTTAAAGCCAGAAAACATTTTTGATTGTAAAAACTTTAGGGATTAATAATGATTTTATTGATACGAGTCTTCTTATTTAACCCATAGCTGGGAGGAGAAGAGGTGGATTCGTATGTTTACCAATTGTATTCTTGGCTAAGAAACCTACTGGAATTGGAACTGCATTCGCCGATTTCCAAAATGCCACCCATTAGCACATCCACGCTTATTGAGCCTAGCATTCTCCAGCGATCACCCATCTAAGTATTGAACATGCTCGAGGTTGCTTAAATTCGCCGACTGGACTTGGTGTCATAATGGGTACGTTGGGCTTCATATATTGTATCCCCCAGCATCACTTATTTAGTGAGCTGCTTGCTCGCTGAATAATAATAATACAATGGAATCAAACAAAGATTTTAGATGTACATGATATAAGCTTTGGAGAAAAAGTCTATAAAACGAAAATACTTTTTGATATACCTTAATAGATAAGAATATATGTTTGTGCATATGTTCGCATAGAGAGGAAAGAAAGATGGCAAGAGGGACGATCATATTTATGGGGAGAGAGATGAATGTATGACCAGATTGTGATAAGTATGTTTTTTTTTCTTCCCCTCACACGAAATGTTGTATTCTGGTCGGGCGGAGAGTAGAAGAAGTGAAGATAACAAAGCATCTTTGTCTATAAATTTCATTATAAGTTGGTGTCCGAAAATAGATTTTGGCTCTTCTTAGCCAACGTAGCCAGGGTTGGGTAACGGGGGGGGATAGGGAATGAAAGGTTGGGGAACGGAAGCAAGAGTTGGAGATCGAAAAGAGTGAAGAGAAAATAGGTTGATGCTTTACTGGGAAAGAATAGGCAAGTCAAAAATGAAGATAAGTAAGGGAAAAAGTATTAAACGTGGGAAGAGGAAAAACTGGAGCCAGGTGAAAGAGAAAAGAAAAAAAAAGGAGATCAAGTAGGAGGGGGAGAATGATGAGGAGGAGGAAGGGAAAAGAAAAAAGGAAACTAGTAAGAAGGCAGAGAAAAAAAAGAGATCAAGTAGGAGGGGGGAGAATAATGAGGAGGAGGGAGAATGATGAGGAGGAGGAAGAGAAAAGAAAACAAAAGGAAACTAGTAAGAAGGAAGAGAGAAAAAAAGAGATCAAGTAAGAGGGGGGAGAATGATGAGGAGGAGGAAGAGAAAAGAAAAATCGGAAACGGGAGATTGGAAGAAGAGAATTAAGGAAGAGGAAAGCAACGGAGGTGAAAAAAACGGATTATGGTAAGGGGAAAAGGAAGGTAACGTTAGAGGTGGAAAGAGGAGAGTGGGAAAGAGGAAAGAGAAAGAGTAAAAATGGAGGACGTAATGGGGAGAGGAAGATAAAGTAAGAAGTAGGGGAGGAGAAGGCGCACGTAAACGATAGAAAAAGTAACGAGGATAAAAAGAAAGTAGCTTGAGGATGGAGAGAGAGAGAGAGAGAGGGGGGTGGAAGAAAATGAGAGTGGAAGAAGAAAAAAGAGGCCATCTTCTATCTTTTTTTGCTTCTCTCAAAAGAAACAGAAATGGCTCGTGAATATGAAAAGGTAAAATGAAAAATGGCCTTATAGAAGGAAGAATAAAAGACGAAAATACAAAAGAGGAAACTAAAGAAGAGACAGAAGCGACAGCCATGAAAAAAAAACAAACTTTATTGAAAGAATAAACAAAAAAAAAACATAGTGAATAGAGAACCATGAAGAAGAACCAGGAGGATGAGGAGGGGGGTTATTAAAAAGGTGACAATCGGAAAAGATCAATGCATCAATGATGAATGTGATTGAATGGTTCATGTTCTAAAAGACTGAAATGTCTCGGCATCGGACAACAACGCAAATGACCGATAAATCAATGCAATGGAATCGGTAAGATTCCCTGAGCAACTCCGAAATGCTTTAGATTTCAGATAACCTTACTTAGTACAGCAAAAATGCATTAAGTATAGGCGAATAGGGTGTGGGACGGGAAGGATGTGGCTGGGTTATTTGAGCAAATGAAATTGTAAAACAGTTCTGCTAAAATGGGCCTGGAAAACAAGCGAAAAATAGTCGTAAGATTTTTTTTATTTTTCGGTTAGGCACTGGGTTGGATAATATTAGAGGTGTCGGAGACGGGTTTCTTTTAAGGCTTCAATATGGCTTAACAGATACACGATTCGTGTTTTTTTTTCTTTCTCTGTTTTTATGTCTCATCATTGTTTAAATTAAAGACAAAAAAATTTTCAGGGCGTGAAGGTATTTTATTTCAGTCACACGATACATTTAGATAGCGAATTTATTGGAGAATTCTTTTCTTTCTCTCTTTTTTAAAAGTTAACTGTTCATAAAAGATATGAGCAAGTGAGTAGAAAGCCTCTTATGTTTTTTTTCGTTTTCTATATAAACCCTTTTATACGAGGATGATTAATACTTGCAGTGGTGTCCAATCACAATCCTGACCTAAGCACACACCTTATTAATTACGCGCTTTTTGATCTTAAATTTCTTGGATACATAATGAGGAAACAGGACTTGTAGAATTTGACACTCACAGAACATATCGAAGGCAAAAGTTAAGGCACCTACCTGATGAGTTTCTGTGAATGAATTGCGCGACAGTGGGTTTGAAGTCTTGGAGTCTTGGTAAAAAGACAAATATAAGTGCTACAAGTGATAGGAGCTTGTAGAGAGCCACAATCGCTCACATTCTGAAGGGAAACGGCACATAGAAGAAGAAAATGATTTTTCGACCCCACTTTTAAGTTTATTGCATATACTCCGGGCTAATTAAGATCCATACTTTTATTAAGACCTCCACCAATTGAGTAGCCTTCATGGAATTATGAAGTGAATCTTTATATAAATCTATGTAAATCTTTTTATACAAGGGCGTACGGTCATATCACATTGATACACCGGTTTCTTTACGATCACCGAAGTTAAGCAACGTCGAGACTGATCAGTATCTATATAGGTGACCGCTTGAGGATACCAGGTGCTGTAAGTTTGGATGTGCATGCGATGATCTGAATTATTAATCACAGAGTTCCAATTCCAGTTGGGTTTGTTATATTCATTTACGCGGGAAATATATGAATCCACATATTCTCCTCAAGATAATGGTCAATTAGTAAGACTTGTATCATTAAAACCATTATTATTTCGAACAAAAATAAAATTGCGTACAAAATTTTTAGATTTTGGCATTAAATAACCCATATGCCGATAAATAAAAACCAACCAACCAACCAATATTTTTATACGGGAACGGTGAAGACGTGAAGTTATGCGGAACCCTTCCTAAACATACACTTGTGGCACCTGCTGAAGAGTGAGAATTGTCTGTCTAATATCAGTGACATGTTAATGAATGTCGAGAGTTCAATTTTTAAAAGTTGCCCTTCGATTATAGTCTTACTTTAGTACAATCACACTTCGATCGAGATTGTGTAGCTAACTAACCATGAATATTTCTGTCTGGATTTCTAAGATCAAGAATTATCCTAATTTACATTTATTAGACGGGATAATTTTCGCCACCCCCGCGTTTAACAATTTCGCACTTTTTGATATTTTAAATGATTTCCAACCCCCAACATTTATTAAGACTCCCCATTTACTCCATAATGAAACATAATCCGACCCCCAAATATTAATATCACCTTGGATTAAAAACCTAAGAGTACATTATTCTCTGTTAGACTAATCACGTCATCACATTTATTTTGAGAACGTTTCGGCTGTTGTCTTCTTCGGTCTTCTTATATGTTAGTCTATCCGGGTAACCTTCAGGGAATTATGAACTGAATCCTTTATTTAATTTACTCGGTAGATTGCTCCGATTCCACTGTTCATGTCTCGGGATATTTTTCCTTTACTGATCAGTTGTTGCTAGTCCTAGAGATTAGATATTAGAGATTCTTGATAAAATCCAAAGAAGAATCTGCAATATTATTGGTCTTGACCTGTCATTTCGGCTTCAATCACTTTTTTACCGTTGTAACGTAGCTTTCCTGTGCCTTTTATGTAAATACTTTGATGGTAATTTTTCTGATGAATTTTTACTCTATGGTAGGATTCCATAGAGACTTGAGGTATTATGTTGGCTGTAATAAAAAAGGCAAGTAAAAATCTGTTGCTTTGGTGTAAGGATTACTATTGGAGTCAGTAATATTGGCTAGCTAAGTTTAAGGTAAGACATATTGAAGACCAGCCTTCTTCTATCCCTCCTTTTGGCCTTGTGCCACACTTTTGCATTATCAAAATAAATATTATTTCCTCTAAGGTACCTAAACTATGAAGTGAAGCACAGTACAAGATTAGCGGTAAAGTTTCATCATTTTACAGTTGAAATTGCTAGATGTAACCGTAAGTTCTATGTTAACAGTTTCTTCCATCACATTTCTCGCTTATAGAACTCTCTTCCGGCTTTGATCTTTAAAAATTAAAATGCAATGTCAATCGTTACCTTCTGTCTTTTTATTTCTTGTTATTTTATTGTTCTTTATCTTTAAGAGTGTTCTTTTTTCATATTTTTTAACATTCAGTATTCCCTTGCGTCTTTGTTAATTTATTGCCTTATTTGGGGGTTAATGATTTAAAAAAAAGTACAGTTTCTATTGAGTTTAAGTGTGTACGAATTGGTCCTTGGAATTGAATCCAAAATTACTACGCGAAGAAATTTACGAATCAAGGATTTAATCCTCTTGGCTATAGTCCCGTGACTCAGACACTCGAAGAAGGTCGGAGAGCACAAACGCCGAATAATGTGGACACTAGTCGAACTGTAAATAATATAAACAATCAGTTATGTCATGTGACTCTTCACTGTCAAATATCTTCCCTTGTTCTCGGGAAAACATCTCGGACACAATGAGAATCTCGTATAGATCATGGATCGTCAGACCAGCAGGATATTGATTTTCGGTGTTAAATTTCGTTTTCCATTATTATTGTAAGCGAATCTTTGAAATGCTTTCCCGTTCTACGTTTTGCTTTTAATTCTACAAACATTTTTTTTTTTTCAGAATTTTACGTCAAAGGAGGACACATCACTGCAAGAATCACCACTTCCGACATTTGGTGTTCGAACGGAGTGATTCACGTGATCGATAATTTACTTTTCTTACCTACGCGTAATATCTACGAGGAAATTGCTAGGATCGATTCGCTGAGGTAAGATCGATATAACTTTTTTATCATTATTTTTTCTGATAGTTTGTACTTAATCAGTACAACTAAATTAATCACAAAGTTACTTTATGAATAATCTATTTTATTTTTTTACACTATTTACCTTATTCCTACTATTGTTCTTATCTTTTTTGCCATATTTATCACGACGTTTCGGCCGTTGTGCGCTCCGGCCTTCTTCAGGTGGTTGGAATGTTGAACTGAACCCTTTATTTCGCTCACTGGGGTAGACTGATCTACTTCCACATACCATGTCTAATGGATGTCAGTTATCAGTTATCTCTTGTTAATTACCCTCTCCAAGTTTTCCACTGCCGTAACCAGGTATTGAACTCACACTCTTTGGATCCTCTCACTGGATCTAACTGACGCCTTTATCCACTGAGGACACTTACTTTTGTTGTTTTTATTTTATATTTACCTTGCTTTTTTCTTCCTTTATTTTCCAAAATATTGAAGGCTTTGACCGTCTCCGGGTTTGCGAAGAACAGTCTACTCCAGTGAGTGAAATAAAGGGTTCAGTTCGACATTCCAACCACCTGAAGGAGGCCGGAGCATACAATGGCCGAAACGTTGTGATAAATATGGCAACAAAGATGAGGACAATATTCCGAATAATGTAAATAGTGTACTTAACACCTCAGAAATATAGATAGATATATTTTTTTTCGTTTTTCTCCTCTGTTGCTTTAAGCAAGGAGTAAGAACTTTGGTCTTCCGTACTTGCTTTTTTGTTTCTTTATTTTCCAAAATATTGAACTCTTTGTCCGTCTCCGGGTTTGCGAAGAAGTCGTCTTTGCGCACCATTTGAATCACGCGTATAAAGCGCTGATGACCAAGTTCAAGAAGGTGAGGTTGATATATGACACAAGAATCGGCAACACAATAGCTTTATAGAACTTTGTGTCTAAAGTTCATTGTTGATCCCGTGTAAAGTCTTTCCAAATATTGGTTAGATTTGATAGTCTGTTGCCAACGTCGGAAGAGAGTTTGGTATCAGCAAATATGTTATATTCCAGGTAGGTAAAGGGTTTCGACACTTTTGGTTTTGATTTACCGATGGATGGACAGATGATCATTTTATTTAGACAAATATTTAAATTGGAGAATTCGGTAACTTTTCAAAACTGGACATTTCTTGTTGCGAGGCTGATTTTGAGTGGGCGATTAGAAATGCATTATCTGCAAACAATATTTCTATCACTTGCGATAAAGACGTTTTATATTTATTTGCGTGGCTTTTTGTATCATTAAAGCGGATAATATGAGTGATTAATCGATAAATATGAGTGATTAATCGATAAATATGAGTGATTAATCGATAAATAATGATAACAGGTGGAGCCAAATTTTGGATAACTGGAACCCAATGAATATGGACAGAAGTAGAAAACGATGAAACTGCCTAAAATTGTGAATTTAGACAGAGTAGATTATTGGTTGGATATGGCAAAGAACAGGACAGTCACTGTTGTCATGTAAGGAACTAGAAAAAGCGTTTGTCTAGTAATGACTGCTCTGCTGCACACAGACACACACCATTATGCCTATTTTGTGTGCTGCGAATAATTTAAAATGTAGATAATTTATGGCATTTTGTCAAGTTTCAAAGAACAGAAAATTCTACTTCTGTTACGTCATCCAAGATTCTCTTACATAGAGACGTACTTCTCTCTCCTAGTGACTCCATGGAGATGACTGTCCTGTTGCTGTAGATATGTGCTCCGTACAACACACACACACATACACACACACACACACATACACATATATATATATATATATGCATGCATTGGTGAAAAGCGAGGCTCTTCGACATGGTGCAATGGTTAGAAAGCTTGCCTCCATAGATCACTCACGATTGTCACTGAGTGCTCTATACTTTTAGCCTTGTGCCAAATCTAGGCTACACTTAGAAACCACCATTGGTTAAAAGCTCTCGGTTTGCCTTCAAAAATTTGATCAAATGACAATGAATCAGAATTATTTTTTTATCGCCATTCTTGGTTGGGCCGACAGATTTTCAGCCTCTACTTTATATATATATATATATATATATATATATATATATATATATATATTAGAAAGAGATAGAATGTGGTGTGTGGATATACTTGCTAGCTCGATTACGTATTTGTAATTAGATGCAAATTCTCATAAATCTAACGTGATTTTCAAAATGTCAGCGCCAGGCAAAGATTGGGCAAGAATCCAGCCATTTAATTCGCCTCGATAGGTGGGGCTGGCTTTACAATAAGATTGCCGCTGTCTTTCGATATAATGAGATAATCAAAGCAAAATTGGGACGAGTGACATCAGTTTCGCAGCATCCGATTCGGCCCTTTCATTTAAATCTACGTCACTTGGCGAATCACACACTTCCTTCCACAATTGCTAGTATGCACCCGATCGGCATACAACGATCTTTGTAAAGGCAAACGAGACAAGTTATTTGGAATCAACCAATCAAACTGTGTCTTATTCATTGCAGTCACGCCTACTTTTCATTTTTCTTTTCCCAAACTCCGTTTTTATTGTAACATTTAACAACTGTGAAGCAGGGAAAATGTAAAAATTAAAGAACGCTCTAATATATTGGAAAATTTGACGGCATTAAGGAAAGATAAACTATGAAGGTTGCTAATTGACTGCAGGTTTTGACATACTCTTATTAATCCCCCCCCCAACTTGGACGAGATGTGACAAATGGTCTTTTTTTTAGGTTGGGACCCGATCGTACGCGCTCGGGACAAGGTAAAAAATTGCCCTCAGTTTCCGGTTTTTATTGCTATGTATAAGTAGTTGTCTGGT